TATTATTATTATTATTATTATTATTATTATTATTATTATATTAGCTTTTGTTTGTAATGTTCTCTACATCAAGAAAGATGTAGAGCATTTCAAAATAAAAGCTTAAAAAAAACACATTAATATAAATATCACAAGGTTGCGAGTTCAATACTAGCCAGGGCTCAGGCTAGACTTAAGGCCTAAGCGGACTGCCAGAAATAGTGCACATTATATTGAGGCACTGCCCTGGCTCAGTGCTAGGGAATCATGGGAATTTCATTTTTTTCTGAGACATTGAGCCTTCTCTGTCAGAGAGCTCTGGTGCCACAATACATTACAGTTCCCAGGATTCCCTGGCACTGAGCCAGGGCAGTGCCTCAATTTAATGTGCACTATTTCTGGCAGTCTGCTTAGGCCTTTAGGCCTGCATCCTTCCGAGGTTGCTAAAATTAGTACCCAACTGTTGGGAGGCAATGAGCTTACAGTTGTAAACTGCTTAGACACTCCATAGCGCGGTACGAAGCGGTATATAAATGAAGCTGCTTTGCTTTGCTTTGTGGTGCCTTGTCCTCCTTTGTGGTCAGGACATCCGGTCAACCCTGCCTCCATCTAAATTCAGCATCTCCTAATATTGGCCAGCTACATTTTAGTTCTTTTCTACATAATGCAGGCCCAAAACACACTGCAGAAATAATCCAATTTAAGACCGCTTTAACTGCCCTGGCTCCATGCTAGGGAATTCTGGGAATTGTAGTTTTGTGAGGCATTTAGCCTTCTCTGTCAGATAGATTTCTGGTGACATAGCAAACTACAATTCCCAGGATTCCATAGCACTGAGCCAGGGCAATTAAAGTAGTCTCAAACTGGATTATTTCTGCAGTGCGTTTTGGACCACAGTCAATTCACTTTTCAAATAAAAGGACAACTCTGAGCAATCAGCTTTCATTGTACAAAAAGAGGCCATTGATGTGAACTTCAGTAGACGTGTGCATGTGTGTTTTGTGTGCCTTCAAGTCGTTTCTGACTTATGGCAACCCTAAGGAGTTTTCTTGGAAAGATTTATTCAGAGGAAGTTTGCCATTGCCTTCCTCTGAGGCTGAGAGTGTGTGACTTGCCTAAGGTCACCCCTATAGCTTGCTAATCACCTCTTTCTTTTGTTCTTTCTTTCTTTCTTTCTTTCTTTCTTTCTTTCTTTCTCAATATACTATTTGCTGTTGTTGTGCTCCTTCAAGTCATTACCAATTTAGGGCAACCCTAAAGCAGGCTTATGCCAGGGTTTTCTTGGCCAGATTTGTTCCAAGGGATTTTGCCTTTGCTTTCCTCCGAAGGCTGAGAGAATGTGACCTGCCCAAGGTCACCCAGTGGATTTCCATGGCCAAGCAAGTATTCAAACCCTGGTCTCCAGAGTCATAGTCCAACGCTAAAACCACTACACTATGATGGTTTCCGCAACATACTATACTATATTCATGGGGTTTTTTAAATGCATATTTACTGGAAGGAACTAGGCCAAAATTTTGAATTGGAGTCTGGACTTTTCCCCTAAGGATCAGGTCTTTGGTCTAAATGGATACATTAATGTGTTTGAACAAATGATTTTTGGAAACAAACAAAATTGAAGCTGGAAAATGATTAGCATCTGTGTTTTAGTTATTAGAGCACTGGATTTGTGGTGATGCTACTATTTCCCAATATCTACTAATCTTATTTTGTTATTATATGTTAGTTTTTTGATGTTTTGCTGTTGTTGTCAATGTTGTGTTGATGAATGTTGCATTTATCATTTGTGCTGATATTTAATAAATATTTTAAAAAAAGAGTAGAATGAAAGGCACAAAATTATAAAAGTGGCATAAAACAGATTAAACCCACAGCTCAAAAGCTCTGGAAAAGTAAAAGGTCTTTGTCTGGTCACACAAGTCATAAAAAATTTTGAGTTATATAATAGTTTGCCCCATTATATTATGCAGTCTCCTTTTCTGGAAGATTACAAAATTCATTTTAGGTTAATATTTTTACTAGCCCAAATCAAAGGTCACACAGACAAAAAAAAAAAGCAAGAATTGAGATCTCCAGATCTATTTATCGGGCAAAATGTTACAAAAAGTGGAACAGAAAACGTTTCTGACTACACATTGAAGTAATAAAGTCCATATGGTCAGTCTTAAAATCAAATGTGGGAGGGAGAGAAGAGGCAGTATCTGCTGGACTTAAACCCATCTCACACTGCCATGCCCTTTTCCTTGGGTGCATCTACACTGTAGAAATAATGCAGTTTGACACCACTGTAAGTGCTATAACTTCATCCTATGGAATCCTGTAGTTTTACAAGGCCTTTAGCCTTCTCTGCTAAAGAGATCTGGCGCCTCAAAAAGTACAAATCCCATGATTCTATAGGGAGCCATGCCTGTTAAAGTGGTGTTAAACTGCATTGTTTCTACAGTGTAGATGGACCCTTTAACATGAGTCATGCGTAATTAGACTGTAATCCTGACAGGCAGGGAACAGTTTTGTTGTTCTTTTACTTGTAAAATGCCATGTACAGTGATAGTGCTATGCAATAATAATAATAATAATAATAATAATAATAATAATAATAATAATAATAATAATAATAATAAATACGGTCAGATGATGTGGTACTTTTCGGTTGTGTCCCCTAGAACTGGTGAATGAAGACACAAATAAAAAATGGGACCCTCCCTAGTTTTGAAAATATAGTATAGAATTTTTGAAAATATAACCAATTGTTACTTGGGACTATCTTCATATTCTATGAGGGAGAGTTTCTTGGTTATTATCTACAATATCCTTCTGTTATTGAAAAAGTTTGGGGCTGCATCCATACTGCAAAAATAATCCGGTTTGTCACCACTTTAACAGCCATGGCTCAATGCTATGGAATTTTGGGAAGTGTAGTTTGTTATAACACCAGAGCTTTGCTTTGCTCTGGTGCCACAACAAACTCCTCCTCTCAGAATTATATAGCATTGAGCCCTGGCAGTTAAAGTGGAGTTCAACCAGATTATTTTTGCAGTGTGGATGCAGCCTGGATTTGATCAGGTCTAAGAACTCTAATTACATGTTGTGGTGCTATGTTGTTGTGAAACAAAAGGGATCTTCCGTAAGATGTCTGCAGAACTTGTGACAACTCCATGAACAGGGAAATTTTTCAGCTTCGCAAGACTGCAGAACAATATATCACTTGACAGCAAAAAGAAATAAAACCACAGCCGTTAACTCCCCACCCAGCCCTTTTGAGTCGTTGCATGTAAGTTCCTCTACGGCTCCCTTTGTGGTTTTCTTCTTGATGGTGCGATTGGCTAAAGCTTGAGAAAGGGTAAAGAGGGAAAAATATAAGGGGTGAAAACCTAGTGACATGCTGAACTTCTCTAAAATTGTCTATGCTTGACCAGAATCCACTCTGGCAGTGAGAACAGGCTGGTCATGTGTTATGGTACACAACGTTGTCGAATTTTTATTTTATGAATTCTGCGAAGGTGAGATCTAAAAAAGGCCAACAAAGTAAAAACCTTTTCCTGCCTAGTCTGCTCTAAAAGGTACGTGACCAATATTTTCTCATACTGCGTTAGCAATAGAACAGATGGGATCTGCAACAAAATGTGGTTCCAATCAACTATTCCATTTTCAGGATGCATAATTTTATTCTCTTATCCTTGCCAACAGATACTCTGCATCCTATGGCCTTGGGCTATTTTGTGGCAGAGAGGACATTAACTCCTTAGAGATTTGTTTCCTAAATATTTTTCTCCTACTGGACACCTTTGGGTGAGCATGTTGATGCCTTCCTCTTGCTTCTCAAATGTTTACATGCATAGCTGTGAAAATATGATATCTGGGTTCAGTATTAGTACAGTGACAAACTCAGTTTATGCCATAAGCATGAATTGATTACATTTCACTTTTCATTTATGAAAATGCGTCTTCATATATGAAGACAGATCGCAAGAAGTGAAGCAACATGGAATTGACTTGTAAGGTTTGAAAACGATGGGAAAGTAACATTGGTAATGAGAAATATTTCAAAATAAATATAGAGCT